TTTGGGGACCCAATGGAACAGCCCCCCCTCCCCTCATCCCACCTGGAACAGGTTTGGGGACCCAATGGAACAGCCCCCCCTCCCCTCATCCCACCTGGAAGGGGTTGGGACAAGAACGACCCAGAGCTTCCCTGGAAGACTCGAGTCCCCCTCTTTGTCCTGCTGCGGGGACAAGGGGACCAGGGACGCTGAGGGGGGGGTTTCTCAGGGATTTGGGGCCCCCCAGGGCCGTACCTGGAGCACGAGGCTGGAGAAGTGGAGATTCCCGGAGAGCCGCAGCCACAGGCTGGCGTTGTAGGCGTTCTCCTCCTGGTTTTCCAGCTCCACCCGCACCAGCATCCGCCTCCGGCCCTTCCGCAGGACGTGGGGGCTCTGCCTGCCAGCCCAGGGGTCAGGGAGGATCCCGGGAACGCCGCGGGGACACCAGGAAGGACACGGGGGGTACCTGGAGCCGGCGATGTCCGCGCTGGCCCGGAGCACCAGGTCGGCGACGCACTCGTCGTCCTCCCCACAGTCCTTGAAAAACGGGATCTGCGAGGAGCCTGGGCGTGATCCCGGTGTCCGGGGGGGAATCCCGATGTCCGGGGAGGATCCCAGGATCCGGTCACACCCTTCCCAGTACCCACCAGCTTGCGGAGGGAGGTGGGAGACGCCTCATCCAGCACCGGCCCCGCGGACTCGTCCAGGGCCCAGCTGAGGGTGAGGCCGAGGGGCCGCAGGTAATCCGAGGTGTCCTGTGGGATCGGGGGATCCCGTCAGCCCCCGGGAATGGCGGGTGGGAAGAGCCCCCCCCACCCCTCCCATGGGGCAGGGAGGGGTCCCAGGGCTGACCAGGACGTGGAAGGGGACGCGGATGCAGCTCTGCCTTCCCAGCGGGAGCTCGATCCGGCGCTGGAGCAGCCGACGGGAGCCCGAGTCGAAGGCGGCGCGGGATCCCGGGACCCGCTCCTCCAGGGACACGTTGTACCGGAGATCTGGGGGGCAGCGAGGGGGGGGCTTAGGGGCAGGGGCACCCACGGGGGTGGGGGCACCCTGGGATGCTCCAGCAGGACTCCAGGGAAGTCCTGGGATGCACCCCAGGGATGCTCTGGATGGGCTCCAGAGAAGTCCTGGGATGCTCCAGGAACACCCTGGGATAGTCTGGAAGGGCTCCAGGAAAGGCTGGGATGCTTTCCCTGGGATGACATCATGGGATGCTCTGGAGAGGCTTCAGAGCCACCCTAGGATGCTCCAGGGTACTCCAGAAGTGCCATATGGATGCTCTGGGATCCCATGGGATCGCCCATGGGATGCTCCCAGGACACTGAGATGTTCCGGGGCCCCCAGGATGCTCCAGGGATGCTCCAAGGATTCTCCAGGGCTCCCCGGGATGCTCCTGGGTTCTCCTGGAGAGACTCCAGGAATGTTCCAGGGACACCCAGGGATGCTCTGGGGACACCCTGGGATGCTCCTGGAATGCTCCTGGAATGCTCCCAAGTTCTCCAAGGCCAACCTGGGATGTTCCAGGACTCCCTGGGACGCCCCAGGGAGTCACAAGGACGCTCCAGGACCCTTTGAGACGCTTCCAGGATGCCCCAGGGATGCTGCAGTGCCCCCCTGGGATGCTCCAAGGGCCCTGCAGCCCCCCCGGTGCCCACACTCACCGATATCCATGTCTCCGGGGCTCCGGGAGCGTGTCCCGGCACGGAAGCAGATCCGGGCGCGGAGGCAGACGGCGCCGGAGCCGCCGCGCTGGCAGTTCCTGCGGGTGACACTGATGGCCCCCGGCTCCACAGACACCCCCACGGACACCCGGACGATCCGGCGGGACCTGAGGGACAGCGGGATCGTGTGGGGGCAGGGATGGGGACAGGGATCCCGCTGCAGGATCAGGAAACGGAGGCGCAGGGGGAGGGATCCGAGAGGATCTCGGGAGCATCCCAAGGTCTCACGAGAGACCGCCCTGTCCCCGGGGTGTCCCTGTCCCTGGGGTGTCCCTGTCCCCTCGAATGTCCCT